AAAGGTCTTGGCGTCGCACCGGGGGGAAGCCCTACTACTGATACTACTACAACTGCTACTACTACTACTACTACTACTACTGCTGCTACTACTACTACTACCACTACTACTCCTACTCCTACTCCTACTTTTGCTTTGCGTGCACAACCGCTCAAGAGCGACCTAGTGTTGGAAACCGGCAGTGCATTATGCGTTGGCTCCTCGTGGGAGCGCGCGAAGCCCGAGGGGTCCTCTACTTCGTAGAAGAGCTCAAAACACTTACGTAAGCATTACGACTGAAAAAGCGAACAGTAGTTGTCGTCCGCAGTCGATGCCATGGAACGTGCAGGAACTATACAGTTATGGATCTTCTACTGAGCAATGCAATGCCGTGCCGACAGCACCCAGCGCATCAATATGCCCAACATGTATCCAGCAAACATGGGCGGACCGACAGTCCCATGCCCCATACTTGCCAAAATTGACGGGAATAAAAACATGCATCTATATTACAGCATGGAACGAAGCTTGCAAGATTGCATCAGTGTTGTTCATAACAGCTCATCAGACCGAACCTAGTGCAGAGAAACAGCCACCGCTCAGGCTTTCACTCTTCCAGCCTCAGGCAGCCATCATTCATGTAGAGAGGGACTTGCACACATCCATGTAGAGCACCAAGATATGCAAGGGCAGCAGAGATTTTCAGCGGCCGCAGAAGACGAACGTAAGCCCCGTCCTTCGTTCCTGCTTCCTTAGTGTTCAAGGTGAAATCCTAGCTCGCTGAGTTCATTTCGGTCCTGCATGGAAAGCTTCTCCGTGTTGCGGACATGAAAGCCAATAAGCACCGTTCTATCGCCACCCCATGGTACTGTAGCATGCTGTGCATCTGGACGAAATTGTAGAGGAGTGCTTGCACCCATCAGAAAGCCGAGCTGGCCTTCGGATGTCAATGCGGTGGATCCCATTGTACGCTGCACCCATACTTGACCTCCTTCAAACTGCGAGCACGGCACTACGATATTCATGCTGCCTTTGGCATGAAATCTGTCCTTGTGAGGCGCAGACTGCACGTTGCGAGCAAACGTCAGCGAGCTGAAACAGTGGTTCTTGTCCACCCCTAGGGAACATGCGAGTGGCACGCATGACCCCTCCATGTGGACCCCTTGCCCATGCACCCGTTGTGAAAGACATGGCCTCCTTCACTCCAGACCGGTTTTCCACTGGCCCCCATCTTGTTTTACTGGTTACCGGAAGCTCATCCATGATGACTGAGAGCATCTGCCAGCTTGCGCATCCATCCCTTAGACATTGCGCTGCATGTGTGTCCAACCGTGATTGGAACAAGCAGGATGGCGGGGACAGCGAGGGGCTGAAAGCGCTGCGGCAAATGGTGCAGCAGCTTGCCAGACTGGTGCTCAGACACGAGGACTCAGTCAATATGTGGCGAGCGGAAAGCTCGTACGTACTTTTCGTTCGGACGGACATTCCGGGATCCTTGGTGCCGTCATTGTTTGCAGCGAAGACAGAGTGGCAAGCTTTGAAGGAGTCCAATCCTGAAAAAGTGCGCAGGCCAGGAATGCGCCCTTCAGCTGCTTGGTGCGCGAAATGCATGACCGACTTGTCAAGGTCAAAGGTTAAAAGCGGGCCTCCATGGAAAAGCTTGGATGGCTGCAGGGTGACCAGTTCCAGAGGTTGCCATGGGACCCCAAGCGGAAGAAGAACGTCCATGATGAGGAGGCACGACCATCAGCTATGAGTACGTTCTGGACATCCTCAAGGCAATGATGACGCGCTGTAACACAGTGGATGCACTCATGAGATTTCACCCGACAAGGCCGCTGGCGGAAAACATGAAGGGTGATACGGTGGCTTTTCTGCTGCAGTTTTCGTTGCAGAACGATGAGGGCCTCCAGATGTATGCGGACATGGCCCAGCTGTGCCACTGTGGATCCACCTTCGTCTCCGGACTGGAGATAAGAAAGGAGCGTAGCTCCCGCAGCCAGCTGGCCAATCAGATCAGCAAACTCCTTGGCTGGAACTGAGTGGGCTACGAATGCTCGAAAGGGTTGAGGCCAGAGCCAAAGGTTTTTGGTGTGCATGAGCACACGACTGGAAGGCTGGGGAACTGAGACAGGCGTGCTTGGCATTTCGATGCGGCGCCGATGGTTATCTCCTGCCGAATGGCCAGTCTGATTTTGGTTTCTGAGAATTGGATGTAGCCAAGGCCAGAAGAAGGGGTCGCCCAAGGGTGTTATCCTTCATCCAGCCTGGATTCCACCTCCATTTCTACTTCATGCTACGGTCAACAGCACCGAGTGACGCCTTGTACCCGCGGCCAGTTGGGGAGCGACGGCCACACGAAAACGGCATCTGAAATTGGGCCTTTGTAGTGCTGATGAACGTTGGAGAGCCTGTTTGCGTTATTGCCGTGGTGCCCAGGTCCAGGACAAGTTTGACTTGGACAACACGTTGTACCAGACAGCATGCGCCTCAGCATATACTACCACCAGGTGAGCTCGGTCTTCCGTGAGAAGGTAGCCCCGCCCACGTGATGTTTTCACTCAGATGTTGTGGTGAGTTTGCAGCCAAGCAGTGGACCATGGATGCAATCCCGGATCCCCGTAGAAGGCGGCGCATGAGTGGCCTGCACGCGTACTTTCCTCCATGCCAGCCCTACAAACCTCGTGGTCTACACAGGTTTTTTCGGTGCTCCAATGCGCAGACCAGCACCAGCAGCTCCAGCGCAGACATGATCATCGAAGTGCCGGATCAAGATGATGTGGATGTGGAGCGGGTGATTGTTTGCAGTGACTCAGATGATGACACTGCCATCCAACAAGCATCTAAGCAACGAAAGATCTCGGCAATGGACTGTGAGGAGGAGCGGATGCATCAGTATGCGGTGACCAAAATGTCTGCGATCGTCCCTCAGCCGCAACAGCCACCTCCTCCTCCATTGCCCCAGCCGCCACCGCCGCTGCCTCCACCACCGTTGGATCTTCGGCGTCCCTGCTGGCCTTGCCCTTTGGAGCCCTGGCCGCCTCCCGCGCTTGGCCTGGCATCACCTTTCCCCGCTGGCTTGTGGAACCTCGCATTGCGATCTTTGTCAAGAGCATCTTCATCGTTGCCAGTTGTGGCAGTCGGCGCCGACTGCTTGAAGGCTTTCCAGATCGAAAGTTCCTCCTGCTCGTCCATTGGCTGGTCGATGGGGAATTCAGTCGTCTCGGCCATTGTCCGCGCTTCAGAGCTCACGGATGTCTGGAACGATGCCCGGGGACCGTCTGAGCCAAACTACACACAAGCCCTTGCGATGAGCTGCTTCGACACTGCAAGCTTCCGCAACAACCCCGTCATCCGTAATGTACCACTCTTCTGTCCATCTGAGTATCGCACGATAATGTCCGGAGTGAGGTGAGCCACCGTAGTGAATCATCCCTGCCATCACATCAAACTGATGCCACTCACAACTGACCCCCTCCACATACACTGGGACTCTGACATGCTGTTGGAACCGTACTGGGACATGTGATTTTCCTCGATGGGGGAATCGACCCAACTGAACCACAAAGTTCTCGGGCGCTGTAACGAGTGCATGTACATGATGCCATGCACTGACGAGCTCCTGGATGTCACACGCACTGCTGGGTAGATCAAGAAAGATGAGCCCCTGTCCTGCATCCGCCACTTGGTGAGCTCCCATCACAGAGATACGTGCCTCCCATGCCGCATACTGAAAACCCCACCTGCTGTAGCATGTACTGGGTAAACTCAGCAGCATCCCTCTGCCTGTTGTCAAAGGTCCACTCTCGAAGAAGAGATCTGACTCCCATATGATGTGAGAGGTTAACAACTTCACTCGCTGAGTTGCAGACCGCGGTGCGGAGGATGTGCAATCCACGTGGCTGTTGTTCCACCTGAATGGCATGAAGGGCTGCCACGACTCCCGAGTTCATGTAGCACAGGTTGTGTGGATTGACGAGCCTGACTCTCGTGATCTCCTTGCTTGTCAGAGCTGCGGTAGTAATCCTGGCGTCTCCCCCCTCAGGGGTTTGCACAGTAGGCGAAATTGCTTGTGCCGATCCACCTCGCGTATCCACTGTAGGAGGCTGGCTACCTGATGTTGACGCTGATGTTGGGGCCGCCTCGATCGCCTTTGAGCAGGGCGATAATGTTGGTCTCGTCCTTCCGAATGTACAATGGTTCTCTTTCACGTTGCTTAAGGGCTGGGCCTCTCACCGTGTTCATGCTGATTTGTAGTTGTCCTTCTCTATGAAGCTTGCGGGCTGCCGCAACCTGGAATAATGGAGAGCACTTCGTAGCATGACGCGTGGAGTCTGTGGTGCCAAGTTTGGCCGTACTACCGCAAAATTGACATGGCCTCTGGCCTCTGGAAGACAGCTTTGAGGCTTCTTGCTGCTGACTCCGCATCCTGGCTTGTTATGGACCAAGCTTGCTTATGAACGCTCTGCCAGTGGGTTTTGACGTGCCCTGTGGCCTTGATCTGCTGTGAGCAAAGGATGCACTTATTCTTGTAGCGCGCCACTGCCTCAGCGTTCTCCGGCAGCTGGTGCAGCTCACAAGTCAGAAGAGCCTCCGGAATGAGCGGCGAGATAGGTTCCGCGCTGCATGCTTGGGTAGGCGCCTGCGGTGGTGATTTAACTTCATCCTCATTCACCTCTCGCATAACCATGTCAAGCCCTCCGTGATGTGACGCTCCATTGATGCCCAATCATACATCACCAACCTGCACAGTCTTCTGTTAAAGGGCGTTCGCGCCTTAACGTGCACAGTTGGATGTGACGCCGTGTAGTGCGCCTCCAGGCTCTTCTGGCTGCAAAATTCGATTCCACATATTGGGCAGCTTACTTCCTCCCCGCCTCTGTCAATTTCGATCAGCCCGGACTGGGGTAAGCTCGCCACCCTGTGGAGCTCGTTTGCAATCACCTCCATGCGATGCCAGGATCTGTTCACTAGCACAACTCGCCTGATGCCCTTGCAGCTGTAACGCTTTCGCCTTCCCCTCAATCTGATTCTGCAAGTCACCGACCACATCGACACCCGCCTTATCCAGCACCGCTTGATGCGTGACGCCGTGCTCGTACACCCTGAGCACTTTGCCAAGCATCCTCGCCAATGTGGACTGCAGTATACGCACACTGGCCGCACTCACCCCCACTCCTATCACCCCATACAACAAAGCGGGTACAATGCATGCTCGAAACAGTCGCAGCTTCTGCCTCAAACTGAAGGAGGACGTCGTTCGAAGAACTGGCCTCAGTTTGGTAAAGTTGCCCCATGCTTTGGCGGCTCTTGAGTTTGCCGTCTGTGATTCCATTGCTCCATACGATAGGGTAACCCCTAAGTACTCCATCTTGTCATCAATCGGCAAGTACACCTCTCGGCCTGTGCTGGGATCCGCACCCACTGCAAGCATGTAGCCTCCATTTCTCCAAATGACGTATCTCTGCTTGATGCTCGCTGCGTCCTTGCCTCGCAGGACTAGCACCACCACGGATTTTCCAAAGTTCACGCTCATCCCTGAATTGTGCAGCGCGCCAATGATGCGAAGGATCATTCGTCTCGCTTTCTGAAATTCCTCCACACTGCTAATTTCCCGATGACCATGAACATCATCAGCGAATAGGCTAGCATGCTGCTGACACCAGTCCTTGCCGAGCTCCACACAGAGTCTGATTGTCCAGGCCGTGAAGACTGCCGGCGCCAATGGACAGCCCTGTCTCAAGCCCCGCTTCATGAGAACCCGCTCTTCATGTCCGGAGTGACGTATGATGCAGACGGATTTGCGATGAGTTTCAACTACAAGCCGCGCCAAGTTTTCCGGAACACCCACTCTCCTTAAACTGGTATACATCTCCTGAAATGGCAAGCAGTCGAATGCCTTCGCCAGGTCGAGGCTGATCATGACACCCCCCGCAAGCGATGGAAAACGCTCCGAGGTCAATCTGGTTGTCAGGTCGGTGCTCACCTCTCCCAACATTGCTCTAACCTTCTGACAGCGCTGACTACCACGCAGTAATGCATCCACTGTGCTCGCCATCTTGCGGTATGCAAATTGAGGAATATCGAACAGCCCCTGAGTTACGTACTCCTGAACAGCATCTTTCAGCACCATTGTAAACAGCTTTGTATCCCCCGACATAAGGCCAACTGTGCGTAGGTTTGCAGGCTTGCATGGGCTCTTCTTAGGTTTAACCAACCACGCAATCTGCACCTCTGCCCAGTCCTCCGGGATATGTGGTTCATCCCGACATAGGCTCTTGAGCGCAATGCTACGAAGCAGCGGCAGCACATGTTCCGCGTGTTGCTTCCAGTTCCGCAAAGGCGGCGTATGATGTGGCGCCGCCTTCTCTGGCCTCATCTTAGACATCGCTCTCTGCCAGCATTCCAAGTCAAACATCCTCTCGTCCATACGTAGTAGGGGCATGCTGGGCGCTGATGCCGCCCCAAACAACACTCTGGCATACTCTGCAAGCGCTTCACACTCTGACTTCCCGTTCATCAGGCTGCCCTGTGCATCCCTCAATCGAATGCGCTGCATACTTTTGCTCGGGCACAATAATCTGACCAAACCATACAGTCTACGAGCATCGTGCTTGGTAGCTGCTTCTTCGGCTTGCCCTAGCAGAGTTAAGACACGTTGCTTCTTCCTTTGCCTGAGCGCCTTCTTGAGTGCACGGTGCGCTCGGAGGTACTGTAGCTTAGTCTTGAAGAACCTGAAAATGAACACAAATCCGCAGCCAAGAAGCGTTTGCTGTATGCGCAGCTTGCGCCGGAGTTGCCAGCATTCACTGATCTCCGTCGCCACTGGGGCCAGGGCCGGTTTCTGGGGCTTGTTGGGTGCATCACCGCCCGCTTGGCTCACCGCGCAGCGAAGTGGCTGGATGCCCGAGGCGATTCCACTACCATTTCTCTGGTACATATCGATGAGGGGCCGCCTGTCCACAGGCTCTTCATGTTTAGTCGGCTGCCCCGGCCTGTTCCAGGGTGTCCATCTAAGCGGCACCGATCCCATAACCGGCATGTGTCCAGTGGTTCTCCACCCAGCCATGGGAGTGGCCTTTGCTCCCGCCTGTTTGGATTGCCCGTCAGCAACCGCCTGTCTGGTTAAGACATAGTCAATCTGCGAGGCTCCCTTGGCATGAACATACGTGGCGGCCTTGGCCTTTTTGCCCCAAGTATTGAGTGTTACCAGCCTGTGACGCTTGAAGACATCCAGCAGCCGTCGCTGATCCTCCTTCTCCTTGTCAGACAGGTCCTTGCACAGGATTCCGTGCCCGCAAACCCGGCTTTCGCTCACCAAAGCTGTATTGAAATCACCTCCCAATATGATGTGGGAGCGGGTGGGCAGCGAGGCCAGTAGCACATCAAGTTTGCGTAAAAGGGATTTACGATCCGCCAATATCTTGTCAGTCACCCCCGCTTTCATCAAGCTGCTGCAGGCCCAGAAAGCATCGCACATGCATTATGCGTCCCGGCTCCACTTCCTGCCGGCGTATGTGCTCCGCCCTTGCCAGAGCATTTCTTATTCCGATTAACACGCCTCCGCTGCCACGCCTCCCCGACGTTGAGTGGCAGAAGTGCCATTCTGCCGTTGTCCAGTCTGAGCTGAAATCCCAATGCGTCTCGTGCAGTAAAACTACTCCAATGTCTTTCTGCTCCGTCCCATTCAACCAATGTTTTAATTCCTCGAAGAGAACCTCCGACAGTCCTCCCACGTTCCATGAATTCTAGGTTTTACGCTCGGAACGACAGATGGATGAACCGGAAGGATTGGTCCAGCCGCCGTCAATAGCTTACCCCTGTACATCGTCGAACCATGCAGTTGAGCACGCCTCAAAGCACGCTTGTATGATCGTTTCCGTATCCTGGAGAACTGTATTCCAGTGGCACGTTGTTCGGCTTCCATGGTTCCCTCCCTAGTTCACTGCCTAATCCAAAAGTCCACCTGCTGTGGCCGATTGACAGCTTCAGGCTCCTCGGAGGGTAGGAGCCAACCCTCACGCCAACAGTGCTATTTGGCTTGTGGTAGATCGCGGTGCACTGTCCCCGGACTTGGGACCGGGATGAGTAACTTGCAATTTGTCGTCTCGCCAGCAATGCTGATATAACTATAACCATGCCAACAGTGACACTTACGGCCTCCAGTCAGTCGATGCAGCTCTGCAATGGCGAAGCCCCGAACGGAGCTCTACGACACGTTCGGGTTGGTGGCCAGAGCCTTCTAGAGAGCTTACGTTCCTAACAGGCCCCACCGTTCAAAAGACGACTTTCAGATTTGAACCACTCATGGCGCTTCCTACTCCTACTCCTCCTACTACTACTACTACTACTACTACTACTACTACTCGTGGTGGTAGTAGTAGTAGTAGTAGTAGCAGCAGCAGCAGCAGCAGCAGCGGAAATCGTCGCCGTCGTCGCAGCCCTGCAATATAGCATTCGATTAAGGTGCTAGGCTTGGACTTCGAAGCCAGGGCTTGCTTGTTCAGCATGTAGTTGTCGTGCACAGGCACGTAGCAGATCGCACTCCTTGAAGGGTGTAGGCTAAGGTTGAAGCGTAAGAGTCTAGAGTCTACGGTCTGCGGGAGTAGGTCTTGTCTGTCCTGCTCAGAAGTACACCACTTGAATGACGCTTCAGGGAGGCTCGGGGCGGGGTTTCAGGTACCGGGAACCTCGCAGCGTCCGGTACGAAGCTTTGTCCACATATACACTTCCGCCCAACCATGCTAGGAAAGCCACCGGCTGCCAAAACCCTAAAAAAACTCTGGAAATGGTGCCACTTCTGAACCAACATTCAAGACATAAGGCTTAGGAGTTCGACTTCAGGTTCTTGGGCCGGTGTATGGGCATTCAGCTACCCGGCCAAAGGGCACCAGGTCCTTCGACCAGGCTAAAACCCTGGGGCCCCAGACGGTTCAGGGTTCGGGCCCCAGGGAAGAGACTGAAACCTTACCCCTAACCCCTTCAAATCTGAAACGCAGCAACACGAGTACGAACAACAAAAATACATCGGAAGCACAAGAAACAACAATACTTATTCTTTTTGGCAAACCCTAAACCCCAAACTGTAAACCCTAAACTCTAAACCCTAGACCCTAAACCATGATCATGGACGAACCCCAAGTTCCAGAAGTCCGAGGCTCACTTGGTGTCCCAGCTTTCTGAGATGGGCTTTGGTCTGCAGGCCCATGCGGACGTGGCCGCGATGAGGGGGGTTGAAGGTGCCCGAGATCCTGGGCACGTCTGGTTCAGGGCTTAGGGCGGGCTTAGGGTTGAGTGTTCAGGGTTCAGGGTTTAGGGATTTAGCGGTTTTGGGTTTAGGGTTCAAGGGTTTAGGGTCTGTATAGGGTTCAGGGCTGCTTGGATCTTCGGTGTGGTTTGACGATGTTGAGGCTTTGGGAGCTGTGGGCTCAGGATTTCAGGCGGAATCAGATACAGGTCCGAGGTTTGACGGTCAAGATAGAGAGGTTTAGGGCTTAGCGTTTAGATTCAGATACTACTATAAGGTTGTAGTTGTGTCTGTCCTTCTTCGGTGGGAGAGGTGCTTTAAGTCTAGGGTTCGGGCCGGGGCTTGGAGAAGACACGCGCAGAACTCCCACATCATCAAGCACTGAAACCCTCGAAACCTAGCAACGTTGACAAAGGACATTCTATAATCAGTGGTGAAGTTCTGAACGCTTGGACTCTCAAGGAAACATGGGAGTCGCCAACACCTAAACCTGCCACAACCCGATGAAGCAACATTAGACACTGTAAGACCTGCGAACCATGAGGAACCGTATACGAATACCTGCACGCAGCGCCTCTCAAAGCCCCAAAAACCTGAACCCTAAACCCTGAGCCCAAAGCCCCAACCAGTGCCCCAAAAGCCAGCCCAAAAGCCGGGCTTCAGCAGCACATAGCATCGAGGCCCCATGGATGCTGCCGGACGCAGCGCGAATTGCTCCATGGCACCCAGAACGAAAATTTCGGCTTTGCGGCTTCTGCTTTTTGGTTCGTCGTCTTAGCTCTGGTGTTTTCGACTTCGGGGTTTGGGATTCTGGCGCCGCAAGGCTAAAGGACCGCGCGGTTTAGGGTTCGGGCCCCCCCCCCTCCGTTTGTTTCAGGGCGTTGAATTGGTTCATGCTGTCTTACGGGAGAATTCCGGTTCTGGTTTCTCTCTGAACATAGGGACTGAGGTCTCGGGTGTGTCTCCAATTTCCGGCTTATATACGCTTTCACGAACAACACCGTCTTCCCTAAGTGCCGTAACACGGACTTCGTCTTGCCTTCGGCACCAGTTTGTTTGGGCAGCTACCGCTGTCCTCGACGCGAAGGCCTTGCAAGATTGCATCCCAACATTCCTGCATCCCCATTTCACCGATGGAAGCCCTACTTCCACCAGAGTGGCTTTTCTCTGCTGGCCGGACACCAGGGGCATGGCATGTAGCTATGGCCAAGCTCCCGGAGTGATCTGCTGAGAAGCATTGCTTCCAGGTGTCGGCAACAAAGGCCCATAGTGTGTCCAGGACCTACGTGCCGCCCATCCCGCGCCTTGGCATCGGGAGCACAAAATCAACGGCCGTTGACACAGCGGGACAGCCCATCATATTTCTAGCGACTTGTCCTGCTGTCGTCCACTCCGTCATGATGCGGCCACAGCGTGCTTTCAGCAACCTTGTGGCAGCAACATAAACTGTTAGGAACAGAAAAAAAGCCTGTCGATCCGTGCTGCGGTTAAGGATACCCTGCAACAGAACAACGAGGCCCCAACAGGCAGATGCCCAGACTCGGAGTCAAAAGCTTCCTGCTGCCGGATGTATACCTCACTTCATCATCTGCTTCACCTTGGACGCAAAGACCTTTCCTTGGCGGCGTGCAATCTTCAGCTCCGTGGCACTGGCCTGGCGGCTGCCGTCTGCGCCGGCAAACGTGCTGGCACCCCAGGGTGAGCCTCCGTGGATCTCCGTCATGTCGAACTGACCATCACCACCTGCCTGGTAGCCCAAGGGTACATAGATCATGCCGTGATGCACCATGTTGGTCATCGTGGTCATGTGGGTGGACTCCTGGCCTCCGTTTAAGGTGCCGGTGCTGCAGAAGCTCCCCGTCAGTTTCCCTGCAAGCGCACCGCTCTGCCACAGTGAGCCAGTGCTGTCGAAGAAAGCCTTCATCTGGGCTGACGCGCTGCCGAAGCGGGTGGGGATACCAAACAGGAGGCCGTCGTAGTCTGCCAGCTGCTGGACCTTCGCATGATCCATGACCGTGTCCGACGGCTTTGCAGGAGCTCCCATCTTTTTGAGCACATCAGCACCTAGAAGCTCCGGTGCTTGAAACATGTCCACACTCACGCCCTCCTCCTTCATAGAGGCAGCGATCTCATCAGCCAGCTTCTTGACATGGCCGTACATGCTGTAGTAGACAATGCAGACCTTCGCCTTCTTCGATGCTGCTGGTGCAGTCGTGCGCTTCACGGCACTACCGAAGACTTCGCCCTGCTTCTGAGCGATCTTCAGCTCCAGTGCCGATGGCTGCCTGCTGCCGTCCGGGCCGGCCAAAGTGCTGGCACCCCAAGGAGATCCGCCGTGGATCTCGCTGAGATCGAACTGGCCCTCGCCGCCCGCCTGGTACCCCAAGGGAACATAGCACATACCATGGTGGACAAGCTGTGTGACAGCTGTAAAGTGGGTGGTCTCCTGTCCCCCTTGCTGGGTGCCGGTGCTCACGAAGGTGGCGCCCAGCTTTCCTGCCAAGGCCCCATTCTGCCAGAGGCTCCCAGTTCCGTCAAAGAAGGCCTTCATCTGCGAAGCCATCATGCCGAAGCGAGTGGGCATGCCGAACATGAAGCCATCATACTTCGGCAGCTCGGAGAGGAACGCACGCTCCAGCAGCATCACATCTCCAGGCTTCTCCGGGGCCCCCATGGCTTGAAGAGCCGAGGCAGGCAAGGTCTCCGGGACCTGAAAAAGGTCCACGCTGACACCCGTCGACTCCAGACCCTTCTTGATTTCGTCTGCCATGACCTTCACGTGGCCATAGGTGGAGTAGTAGACGATTGCCACGCTCGGGCCCGTCGCCTTCTTCATGGGAGGAAGGCCCTTCTGAATGGCCACCTCTGCACCCATCACCGCCTCCGAGCAGGCGTTTCCCATGCTGAAAGTGGCAAAGAGCACTTGGGGAACAGGGGAGCGGAGGGGCGAGCGAGGCTACGAGCTCTGAGCCTTAGACGACATCCACCGGCTCAGGCCATTCAAAGCTTAGGCTATAGCCAAATAGATCTGTGCATGCTTTCTTGTCTCTCGGCACTTGTGTCCGCTTTCGATTCCCGTGCCACTCACTTTGGTGATGGCGATGGCTTGGAGGATGTGCCTGAGAAGCGGCTTGAACCGTCGGCTCTCCCATCCTCAGGGTTTGGGGTTTAGGGTTTAGGGTTTAGGGTTTAGCGTTTAGGGTTTAGGGTTTAGGGTAGGCGCCACGACAGAGGAGTCCTTTCAGAATCTGCACTACACCCGATTACCCGCCGCTACAAGGCCAGATGTCCCAGTTCGGATCCGGGCTCAGGTGTCCTTCTTTTCATTGTAGTAATTAATATATACCCCAAACATAATTCCAATTATTAATTAAGGGCTTTGGAAAAACTGGTGTTTTAAACTTCGTGGCCTCATTTTCAACACCAGCAGCAGCTGCGAGCCGCAGATGGTTTCCAAAGTTCTGTCTACTTAGGACCTGGGACCCCGAAAACGGACCACGAGTCTTGAGAAATTGAGCTGCTCCAAAGCCCTTCTTGCGCAGGAATGTTTGGTCGTGGATTTGCACGGAATCCGTGCATTCACTCAGCTTCGCGGCTGTCCCCAAGGAGGACACTTAAGCCCAACACGGCAGTGGGCTGGCATGCTATAACAGCACCTACACCACGGGGTCTGAACTCTTACCCCCGATAGCTAGTAGCCAGTAGCCTGGCTACTCCATGACTTCGGGATTGGAGGGATGGAAAGCCAAGCCATTGGAACAGCCCCTGAGCCCAGGCACACACAGTGAAGACGCCCGCAATGCGGCCATGTCGTACCACACCTGCGCTACATTTTATGTTGCCGTTGCACATGCTACGACTTCTGATAGTACCACGGCAAGGAAGATGAGAAAATTATCTGCTGCAGTCCAGCGATTGCCCCATCTACACAGCAACACCGCTGCATCTATCCGCCCAGGGCGCTTTGGATACGACAAGGGTTAGTTGCTACAGGTGTGGTAGTATTATGGGGGCTCCTGCGTGCCCGGAAAGTCCTAAAAGCCAGGATCCTCCCCAAACCCTCATAGTCACCTCGGAACCCTAAAACGACTCCCTTACAGTAACCCATGCGTAGCCCTTAAACTAACCCTTATGACACTCTTCTCGTAACCGTATAGTAGCCTCGTGGTGTTCCCCCTTGCTGTCATTTGCCTGGCCATGGCATGTTGGTCTCAAGGGTGCTGCACAGGCTCCGTACCTCTGAAGAAGCCGCACGCCTTGGAATCCGTGGTTCCAGAAGCCTAGCCTGTGGGAAACTGCTCGTGCTGTTATAGACAGCCGCGCCTCAACAGCTCGTGTGTAGAACATTGAACGCAGTGTTACATGTTTCGGTGATTTCGGCTGCGAGATTCTCCGCTTTTAAGGTATATGGTCATGGGGGGTTGAACACCCTGTCTGCAATTTGGGCAGGCCTTCCCTTCCAAGTGCCGTGGAGCCCGTCAGGCTAATTCAGGGTACCCCCAGCAAGCGCTTTGGCGCATCGCCTTGCTGTCATCTGCCAGGCACATGGCATGTTGGCCTCAAAGGTACCACAAACACAGACACGTAGCTCAGAACCCAGGGGACACGTGCATCTTGCCACGGGGACCTGACCCAAGCCCCCGCACGCCTGTGACCAGGCGGGCCAGATACTTAGCACATCGATGGGGTGTCCTAATGGATTCGAGGGTCCGTGTTCCACAGCAGCTTGCCCCACACCCGGCCAGCGGTGTGTTCGACTGCTGATGCTGGTTGCAAGAAACAACAGCTGTGCCTCAACAGCCGATGGGTAAGGCGGTCAAGGCTTGTTCACTGTGACTAGTTAATTAGGCTGATTAGGTTACTTAGGGTCGTACAATTTAGGGTAGCCTGCCAGAGGCGGCGGACATGCTGCCAGGGAGTTTCGCAGGGATGTGCCTTCAGATGAGGCCTCTGCAATGCTTGCACAACCAACTTCCCGAAAAGCTTCACGGAACGACTGGCATGCTACCTACATACCTACGAGCATTTGGAGTTACTTACGTATCCCAGGCTCAAAACCGTATCAACATGATTACTTTACGACCCCTAATCGCGAAATCACGATGATCGCGCTGATGCAAACTTGTGTCGTGGGGTAAGAAAGCACAGAAACAAATTACCTAGAATCTGCATAGAGTCAGTAACGTTTGAAGGTGCTACTTGTACAGTACACCCACGTTATAACTATACATCAGAAACCAGCATTTGCGGAGTATAGGCACATGTTAGTATTTCCAATGGCACTTGTAGTCGCACTGGAACCCTCTGTCGCCAACGCTCCGTTTCCTACACTGACTAATAAGGCAACATAGGGGCCACAATAATCATGATCGGGCTTTGGGGTATATTATCCTCTACTTGCCTTGCCCCGAGTACTCCATCGGAGCTGGTCCGTTTAGGGCTTGTATCCTTAGACTAACGGCGGGACAAGTCCCCCTGCCCAAAGCAACCAAAGTAACTATATAGTTTGGTAGAATGCAGGGTTTCTAGATGATCAATTCTTATCATGATAGGGGAAAGTATCCTGCATGACAGTACCTAGGACCCTTTCAGCCGTTAGAAGAACATACTATGTCAGGGCTTGGAGGCTGAATCTCCACAAGCCTGAGCGAAAGGGTTTTTGGGCCCTCTTATAATCATGCGAATTGGATTTTGGGGGAAAAGTATAGTGAGAATACGGAGCCCGAACAAGGACTAGTATGAGGAGTCTTTCGGGCTGTAATAATTCAGCCGCCGACAGATCCAACAACCATTCAAAGAACGACAATGATGAACTGCGATCCTGCCTTACAAGTTCGCTCTACTCCGGTCGTCAGAACTTGCGATACTCTACTTCCAAGTCTGGGCGAGGGCTTGCTCCGTAAGGCCCTGGTGAACATTGGGGCCATACTAAAAAGAATCGGGTTTTGAAAGGCAGTCATAAGCATGAAGCATCCTTTACTAGTGTACCAATGTTCCACACAGGTAGGCCTCCACCCCGGCCAAGGCTCAACAGTCGGGACCGTTGCAGAAACAGGGTAGATTGCAACATTCAACACAAGCATACTGTCACAAGGTTCTTGACAGATCAACTAATCTAACAAGTGTAGATTGAGGTGCATACCAATACACGTTACTCGTGAGCGCGTTTCACAGGCAAAGGCGGCAGCGACATCACATAAGCCACAAAAAAAAGAACTCGCTCGAGTTTCAACTCACTATGATGCAAATGTAGAGGCCTACCCTGCCAAGCAGTGTGGAGGATCGCCTGTCGGGCTCTGAATCCAGGATGCCCCCAGCAAGCGCGTTGGCGCATCGCCTTGCTGTCATTTGCCAGGCACTGGCATGTTGGCCTCAAGGGCACCACAGACACCCACCACGAACTTGGAGGATGTCGTGCTTCTCGGGATACCGACCCAAGGTCATCTCCGCCTGATACCAGGTGAGATGTTGAGCACGAGTCATCTAAAGTTCGAGGGCTCTGTTCCGCAGCAGCTTGCCCCACACCCGGCCAACAGTGTGTTCAACTGCCGGCACCATTGCACAAACAACGGTGACGCCTCAGCAGCTGATGGGTAGGGCGCAACATCCAACACAAGAGCAG